TTGGGGTCTTCGCTGGTGTAATTATTATCATCGTTGTTATTCAAATTCTAATTCTTATTCTTGTTCTTCTTATTATTGTTGTGCTTCTTTTTTTGTACTTCGTAGTGATACCCAGCGACTTGCGGCACGTCGCCAGCAGCAGGCCTATGGCTTCAAGCTGGCTGAGGCCACGGTGATAGCTCAGTTCCATGGTGGGAGATCCTTGGGATGGTGGTCAGGATCCCTGGGCGCAAGCCCTTCAGACGCCAGCCTCGCAGCCTTCAAGTGTCCCGAATGCAGTCCAATGCTTCAGCTGATTCTCCGCGAATCTACTAAACTTCCGAAAAGGCTTTGGGGTTCACGGTTTAAGCTTTAGGCTTTAGGGTAACTAGTCTTTGAGTCAAGAACGTGACTCAAAGGCGGTGGTTTCACTTCTTTGCATATTCCACCATGTGGACCAGGGTTTATGAAGAATTGGATTCCGTTGTCGACAACCCACTTCGTAAATTGGGTGTGCCATGAGTTTCGCTGTCTTTCGTCATCTGAGGGCATAAGGATTCTATGACCAGCATTGGAAAGTCAACAGCCGCCAGTGCCTGCCCAGGTCAACCCATGCGGCAGCCCATCCTCTCCTGGGAGTTTCCCTACCCCGGCGTGACCATCCGGGTGCTTCTCCGCAGCAAGGAGAGCGGCTGGGCCGATGTGATCCAGCGCCAGGAGCGCCAAAACCGTCTTGGCTTGTTTTGTCAGATGATCGAAACGCGGCAGCCTTTCTGGTTCTCCCCGGAACTGGTGTCGCAGGGCTCCGACAGCTCAGTGGCCTCTTGGGAGCCGCCCGAGAAGGACGAGAACGTCGTGTTATTCCGAAGGTCGGAGGTGGAGCGTTTGCACAGAGCCTTGCAGGCTGATGGTCGCAGCATTGCTGTGCTTGGAAACGACGTCCGACATGTTCCTGGCTTCCGAACCCAACCATCTCAAGTGCGTGCGGCTTGCCTGATATGGAGTGAGGCGCACAGGATGGGACTGTACTCACTGTCCTGTTTGTGTAATCCAACACGTTTTGGGAAGCTTCACCAGAGTCTCATGTTGTTTTCGACGCATCGGTAAGGTGAAGGCTGTGTTGCTGGCAGACAGTGCTCTGCAGGATGATCGTGATCGTATCGAGCGGGGGGTCGAGAGGCTGATGGGCACGGGCATCACCGATCCCACCATATGGCGTTTCTTCAAGAGCCGGAATGTTTTCACAGCAGCTGCCGACTTGTGCAAATACCTTTCCCGCAACGGTTCTGACAGAGAAGCGCTGGTTGCTGCTCTTCACACGGAGGATCGCTCAAGGTTTCTTCAGGAATTTGATGAGTACAAGCTCTTTGCAGAGTTCAGCTGCAGCCGCTGCAATCGATCTTGGAAGTCGGGATTGGCATGGGGAGTGTTTGATCCCAGACTTCAGCCGAATTGCACATGCCTCAAGCAACCACTGCCTCGCAGGGAGCTCTTCACCACACCCGAGCACCTTCGCAAGAACGGATGCGTGCATGTCTTCAGAGACCCAGAACAGTGCGATGAAGTGCTGGACCTTGAGACTCACCGAGATGTGCTGCAAGAGCAGCCTTCCGTGGTTTTGCAACCCTCCCGCCGCTGTTTGCGCCCACGAGATGATGCAGGGCCTCCGAAGCAAGGATGCGAAGTGTGTGGCCTCATGTGTGATGCCATTTACTGCCAAGCTACGGACAGGACCTTGGAAAAGCCTCATAGGGCAGCTCTGTGCCCAAAATGCAAACGTACTGGGCGGTGGTGCCACGGTGGCATACACAAGTCTGACATCGTGATGCGCTATGCTTTGGTGGCATCGCTGCTAGACAGCAGCGTGTCTTTCCAGCGCAGCGAGGCAGGACTGTAAGCCGAGATTCAGTACGACGGACATCAAGTGCTATTGCTCTTACGACCCTGGCTGTACATCATCCCAGAGCACCGCGATGCCTTTACGACTACAGGCCAAGAAGAAGCAGTTTTGCGACCGGACCGGCAGCCGGCGGGTGCTAGCGAGCAGAGCATGTTCCGACGTGCCTTGCAGATGGTCATGTCTGACAAGGCAGACATGCTTCGGTGGCCTCCGCCGCTGTCTTTGGCTGAGACCATCTCTGCCCTGCGCGCCTTTGCCGACCAAAGTGCAGCCCGACAACCTACAGACGCCGAAGCTGCTGCAGTTGAGGCTGCCCTGGCCCAGAGAGATCCTTCAGCCGCCCTCCAGCAGGCATTGGACTTCTTGCAGGTGCCTCGAGACGTCAATGACTCAAGGCCTAGTGTCGCGGACCAGTTCAAGGTCTTCCTGCAAGGCCTCCGGCAAGGAGCAGCTGCATCCTCGAGTCACGAGGAGCACCTACCAGCAGCCACAGGGCCCGCTGTGAGAGCAGCTCCCCGCGATCACTCCCAACTCGCCCAAGCCTTCGCGATGGCGTCGCAGTGCATGGGAGGCAGGCTGGATGGACCTTGGCGATGCTTCCGCATGGACGAGAAACGAGATTATGGCCAGCGACATGGTCAGACTTATTGGAAGCCACATGGATGGGTGAAGCGCCGGCTCCGCGTGGACGACTACGAAACCTGCAGAACATGGCCAATCGCCTACCACGGAACCTCTGCGGAGAATGCCCCCAAGATTTTGCTGACCAACCTCCGCAAGCCTGGCCAGGGCGGGGCCACGCAACAACATGGAGGCGCTGGTGCGTCCGCAAGTGGCACTATCTACGTGACTCCATCCATTTATTATGCCGCCCATCCCGTCTATGCTCCCTTGCATGAGGTGGACGGCAGTTCCCGATGGTTCCAAGTGGTGCTGCAATGTAAGGTTAGGCCGTCTCGCTTCAGGGTGCGACAAGGAACCTTGGGCAACAAATATTGGCCGAGAGACCTTCGGATGGATCCGAACTTCCGGGATCACTCTCAGATGGAATGGCTGGTGGATGCCGGGCTGCCGTTTGTGAAAATTTTTCGAGTTTGTCCTTGACGTAGGAACCTGTTCAGACGCGGATCGTTCTTAGAGTTTTCTTGCAATCCAGGATGATGAACGAGACGTGGTCGTCATTGGGCTGATGTACCGGGAGCTGGGCAGCGAGGCAGATGCCAGCATCTACGGCAGCCTTGCCACGCGGTTGCGACAGGAGGGTGCCAAGAAAGGTGTAGAGTTTAAATGGACGGAGATTTTGGCTGAGCATCACCGGAACAGTGGCCTTCTGGTAGGTCAAAGTTAGGCCCCAGTTAGGCACGCACACACCCACACACACACATACACACAAACACAGAGACACACACACACACACACACGCACACACCGTGTTACCAGCTGTTCTCTGCGCCGCGAGCATCGCGCTAATTAACTTGTTCTTTTGTCTGTTGCTGTCACAGTCAGCATCACATGCAGAAAGAACCATTTTAAGAAGCTCCGCTCTTCAAGGCAATGTGCATAGAGGTCAGTTACAGATGCTGACAGGATCAGAGCTTTTGCCAATCTTAGATCGGAGAAAGACGTCGATTAACGTCAAGTGACGTTAGGCAGTGGATCCCTTTCTAAGGTCGGTGCAGGTTTGTGCATGTTGGTGGACATGTTGGCAACGGCTCGCATACCAACAGAATTGTTGTGATGCCGTGCGTTGGCACCTAGCGAAGCACGGATGCTGTTTGTGCGATGGAGGAGAAAACACACGGACTGGCCATGAGCTGAAGCTCACTTCACGCTGGCATGCAGGGGCTCCTGTTGAGCAAGCCTGCGTCGTAAATATCCCATCATTAAGGCAGCACAAGGAGTGCCCCGCATCATGACGATCGTTTTTCAGCCCTTTTCCCCTTTGTCGCCGCTACTTAGGGCGAGGCTCTTCCAGGCAGCATGCTGTTTGGGGCCATGAGATTGCTTTATGTGCTTAGGGCGAGGCTCTTCCAGGCAGCATGCTGTTTGGGGCCATGAGATTGTTTTATGTGTTTTAATGGGTCTTGTGTCTGGACGTGCTGCGCTCAGCAAAGTGCAAAGCAATGGGGAGTGGGACCTGGAGGCCTCGCCCGGATCTTTAGCTTTGGGTGGTGGAGGGCTTGGTAGGCGGGAATCCTCCATCCTTGGTAGGCAAGGTGCCTACAGAAATCCATCTCAATCCCCGGTGTTCTCTCAACATCTGTAGTCCTCTCTTTCCGATCCTTAAGAACTGCGAGAGAGCTCCCATCTCGATGTGTTTGTCAAGGCAGACGCGGAGCATCACAACGCCAAGTTTGTGAAGCTCAAGAGGCTGGCATGAACATCGAAGCCCGACTGATTACCTTCCTTCTTCCGACGTGGCAGGGTGTGGGATATTCTTAATACTATATTAAAAATACATAAGAAACTACGAGAACAGTATTGGCAATCGTTTAGGACCCTAGAGTAGTTCAGCGCACTTCAGCTCTGGCTTCGGCGTCCCAGGCGACCGCGAGGTGTTCGAAGTCCTAAGTACCGATAATATAGGGGCTTGATAATTAGAATAGGGCTTTGGGGGGATAACAAGGAGCCCCCAAAATAGTACAGGCCCCTGCATTACTCCATGGAGGTGAGCCTTTAGACTGTTTGACCGGTCCTGCATCCTTAGTAAGTGGGGCTCTGCACTCGGGAGAAATTTCTGCACCATGGAGGCTGCGCCCAGGCGTGACAAGAGGGCTGGGTCCGTGGATGACCACAAGGTGCCTTGACCACCAACACAACCATCAACCTGAAACCGTACTCGCCTAGGCCGGAGACCCAATTGTAAATTGTACCCATGCTAGGCTGTCTCCACAGCACTTCGAAGAACAAGTGAAGGTGCTCGTAAGATATTGGCCAGGGAGCGGAAGGCATTAGTCCTCGCCACGCGCGACATCGAACAGGATGAAGAGGCCGTATCACTTTGATTTCTCGTTGCGCATGGTCGTGGTGATCATGAGCAAGATACTGTTGAAGATACTGTTGCTGCTGTTCTGATGGTCGTGCTGATGGTGGTGGTGCTGGTCGGCAAGGTAGATGATTATCCGTGCCTCCTACCTGCCATTGCTGACACCTGCAGAAGTGGCCATGAGAATGGCCGTACTGGTAGTGGTTATGAGGATGAGTAGGTTGCTGATGATAGTGACGATGCTGATGATCGTGGCATGATGGCACCAGGGCTGATGATGTTGTTGCTGATGCTGATGGTCGTGATGATGCAAGTGACCGTGAAGAAGTAGATCGGAGTCGTTGCGATAGTGATAGTGACGAGGACGAGGATGATTCATGGTGAATGATGATGTCGTTGCAGGTGCGGCTGATGACGACTATGTTGAGGACAACTCGTCGTGACATTGGTGGATGGTGATGCTGATGCTGATGGTATTGATGACGAGCTGGTTCGGGGCGGGGACTCGTTAGTAGTTCTTGATGTTTTGATCGCAATTGCAGCTCTGATGATGGTGGCATGATGGTGGTGATGTCCACGCCACTCTGGCCACCACCATAACAACAACAGCGAGGACGACGACGACAACATCAACAACAACAACAACAACTACAACTACAACTACAACTACAACAACAACAACTACTACTACTACTACGACGGCCACCACCACCACCACCACTACTACTACTCCTACTCCATTTCCCACTGCCACTCCCACTGCAACTACTACTGCGGCTGCTGCTCCTTCTTCTTCTTCTTCTACTACTACTACTACTGCTACTACTCCTGCTGCTGCTGCTGCTGCTGCTGTTGCTGCTGCTGCTGCTGCTGCTGCTGCTGCTACCACTACTACCACTAATACCACTAATACCACTACTACCACTACTACCACTACGACCACTACCACCACTAC